TTTATCTCCTGACCTGGGCGCTTGATTACCTTCTTGAGGCTCAGAATCATGAATATGAATGAGTACTTGCTGAGCATTTATTATGAGCTGGCACTGAGCTTGTCACTGGGGCACAATGCTGAACACGGCAGAGGTATCTCCTATGCTCACAGGTTGCCAGTTTAATGGACTTTGTATCCAAGAGGCAAACTCAGCCTATCAGGCAGACTCTTCTGCACAGGCCCGTCTGTTCACATTCTCAGCCACAAGGCTAGAAACAGCCCCACAGTGGGAAATGGATCCTTGTGACCAGACCTGGCGGCCCAGGCACAGACACCCCTGGGACAGAAAGTGGCAGAAAATAACAGGAGTTTGGGGCCTGGGATGACCAGGTGTCTGACCCTGCTTGTGGTTGTGCCAAACTTCCTGGCCCTGCTATTTTTATTATTAATTCTAATAAATACATTTTATTGACGTTTCTCTGGGTCTAGGCCCTCTGCTCAGGGCTTTATCCATAGAACCTGGGTATGATAGGGACCCTCCTTCTCTGTCTTATGAGGGCCTTCCTGCTTAGCTCAGGAGAAAGAGAACCTGAGTTTAGTCTTACAGACCTTCCTGCCTGAGAGGTCATCTAGCTTACCCCTCCTGCCATGGTGGCGCGATTCCCCGGAGCCATGAAGCAGTGGAGATGGCTCTGTATCCCCAGGGAGATGCTCACAGCCCCTCTCTGAAAGAAGCCCATCATCAGGCAGTACAGATAGGCCTTCAAAGAGAGCTGAAATTCCAGGGTAAATAAGGTCAGGTAGGTCAAAATGTTTTATCAACCATAAAGTGCTCTGAAACTATAGGATAGCATCATCGCCATCATTTAAAAGGAGACTGACCATCACAGGTTTGTTGACTAGAGATTCAAATCCAGGACCATTACCTTTCTCATTCTTACTCTTTCCATTCTCCTTGTTGTGGTAAAATTTACCTGCAACTGTTAGATTTAAAGCATAATACATCCATTGAGGTTTGTTCAATACTTTTCTTTTTTTTCTTCATTAATTATTTTTTCTTGTTTTTTCTTTTTTGCTAAAGGGTACTTCTGCTCACAAGAGAGACACAGAGAGAAAGAAAGTGAGAAAACACGCTCCATGGAGATGGCCATACCACAATCCCCTCTCCTCCATTTCTCCTTTTGGGATTTGGGGTATCAACACACATACACCTGGCATGTTTTTCAAGTCACTGGGTCTGGGACTCAACAACCATGTGGAATCCAGTTGGTCCAACCACCTATGCCACCAGCTGGCCCTGTTCATATCCTTTCTACTAACAAATTCAACGAGTTATATTTTCACTAATAAAAATACTTAACATTACAAATTTAAATGTAATGCATGGTACGGATCTGAGGTTTGTGACCCCCTCGAATTCCTTCATGTCAAAGACCTAACGTGTAATGAGACTGCATTGGCGATAAGCCCTTGATGGGAGTAACCGAGGCTAAATGGGACCACAAGGGTGGAGCCCTAATCCAACAGGTCTCGTGCCCTTATACTATGAAGAGACAGAGTCTTCTCTTCCTCCCCATAGGAGCACAAAAACAGAGGTCAGAGGAGGACACAAGGAGAAGGTGGCCATCTAGCAGCCAGGAGAAGGGGCCTCAGAGGAAAACCTACGTTGTCAGCACCCTGATCTTGGAGTGTCAGCCTCCAGATTGCAAGAAATAAATTTCTTGCTTAAGTCACTCAAGCTACAGTATTTTGTTACGGCAGCCCAAGCCGACTAATACGATATATTTTTGGATAAGTTGCATACTTACACTTGATAATACATGTAGGCAAGTCACTTTTCTATTTTTTTGTTCTCTTAACAGTGGCTTTTTGTTTTCAAATGGTGGCTTTTTTCCTAAATCCTTTCGGTCAGTAGAACGCTGATCCTGTGTGCTATAAACAATTTTAATGTTTTGAAAGTGCCATTACAAGTTGTTGTAACACCTTTGTTCCTTTCTGTCAGACATGATCCGATAAATGTTTGAAAAGGTGGACATCGGCAAAGGTATTTTAGTTTAAATCAGACTTCTTTAAAACCTGCTTGCAAATGAATTCTGTTTGCTAGTCACTGTTTTAATAACATGGTAGAATTACGATGCAAATGAGAAAAAGAAAGTCTGAACTGGCTATAAGTCTCCCAGACGCCGAAGTAAGTATAACCAAAAATTAATGCTATCTGGAGTGATTCGCAAACCAAATTGTGCTTTCTATTATAGCTCAAGCCAAGGAACTGGAGTCTGGTTGCAAGCGTACCTGGCCCTGAGTCAGGCTTCAGGATGGCTTCTCTGTATACTAAAGAAGGAGAAGCAGGAAGAGTTAGGAAGGAGGCGACCTTGACCTGAAGCCTCCTCTCTCCATTCCTGGCAAGAGCTCCTCTTCGAACCCCAAGATTTCCATGGGTACCCCGTCTTGAGCTGCCTTCCCCAGGCCCCTGCTGTCTCCTCACTCACTCTCCCTATCAAACCTTTATCTGCTCTGGCTTTCTGTTAGGAAGCTAATCTCTGTATCACGGGGACATCACTGCTCAGTGTGACACTTCTTGCCCATTAAACATATTTGTATTTTAAAAAGGCTCTTATAGAAATCGTCCCTAAACTTAAGCGATCATTTTGATGACACCAATTCCAGCCTTTCTTCTCTAGTTGTTTTGGACTGACCATCACAGGTTTGTTGACTAGAGATTCAAATCCAGGACCATTACCTTTCTCATTCTTACTCTTTCCATTCTCCTTGTTGTGGTAAAATTTACCTGCAACTGTTAGATTTAAAGCATAATACATCCATTGAGGTTTGTTCAATACTTTTCTTTTTTTTCTTCATTAATTATTTTTTCTTGTTTTTTCTTTTTTGCTAAAGGGTACTTCTGCTCACAAGAGAGACACAGAGAGAAAGAAAGTGAGAAAACACGCTCCATGGAGATGGCCATACCACAATCCCCTCTCCTCCATTTCTCCTTTTGGGATTTGGGGTATCAACACACATACACCTGGCATGTTTTTCAAGTCACTGGGTCTGGGACTCAACAACCATGTGGAATCCAGTTGGTCCAACCACCTATGCCACCAGCTGGCCCTGTTCATATCCTTTCTACTAACAAATTCAACGAGTTATATTTTCACTAATAAAAATACTTAACATTACAAATTTAAATGTAATGCATGGTACGGATCTGAGGTTTGTGACCCCCTCGAATTCCTTCATGTCAAAGACCTAACGTGTAATGAGACTGCATTGGCGATAAGCCCTTGATGGGAGTAACCGAGGCTAAATGGGACCACAAGGGTGGAGCCCTAATCCAACAGGTCTCGTGCCCTTATACTATGAAGAGACAGAGTCTTCTCTTCCTCCCCATAGGAGCACAAAAACAGAGGTCAGAGGAGGACACAAGGAGAAGGTGGCCATCTAGCAGCCAGGAGAAGGGGCCTCAGAGGAAAACCTACGTTGTCAGCACCCTGATCTTGGAGTGTCAGCCTCCAGATTGCAAGAAATAAATTTCTTGCTTAAGTCACTCAAGCTACAGTATTTTGTTACGGCAGCCCAAGCCGACTAATACGATATATTTTTGGATAAGTTGCATACTTACACTTGATAATACATGTAGGCAAGTCACTTTTCTATTTTTTTGTTCTCTTAACAGTGGCTTTTTGTTTTCAAATGGTGGCTTTTTTCCTAAATCCTTTCGGTCAGTAGAACGCTGATCCTGTGTGCTATAAACAATTTTAATGTTTTGAAAGTGCCATTACAAGTTGTTGTAACACCTTTGTTCCTTTCTGTCAGACATGATCCGATAAATGTTTGAAAAGGTGGACATCGGCAAAGGTATTTTAGTTTAAATCAGACTTCTTTAAAACCTGCTTGCAAATGAATTCTGTTTGCTAGTCACTGTTTTAATAACATGGTAGAATTACGATGCAAATGAGAAAAAGAAAGTCTGAACTGGCTATAAGTCTCCCAGACGCCGAAGTAAGTATAACCAAAAATTAATGCTATCTGGAGTGATTCGCAAACCAAATTGTGCTTTCTATTATAGCTCAAGCCAAGGAACTGGAGTCTGGTTGCAAGCGTACCTGGCCCTGAGTCAGGCTTCAGGATGGCTTCTCTGTATACTAAAGAAGGAGAAGCAGGAAGAGTTAGGAAGGAGGCGACCTTGACCTGAAGCCTCCTCTCTCCATTCCTGGCAAGAGCTCCTCTTCGAACCCCAAGATTTCCATGGGTACCCCGTCTTGAGCTGCCTTCCCCAGGCCCCTGCTGTCTCCTCACTCACTCTCCCTATCAAACCTTTATCTGCTCTGGCTTTCTGTTAGGAAGCTAATCTCTGTATCACGGGGACATCACTGCTCAGTGTGACACTTCTTGCCCATTAAACATATTTGTATTTTAAAAAGGCTCTTATAGAAATCGTCCCTAAACTTAAGCGATCATTTTGATGACACCAATTCCAGCCTTTCTTCTCTAGTTGTTTTGGTTCATGGGTCCAACATTCATCTTTATCAAGTTTAAATAAATTATTTTCTCCACAGGAATATAATATCACAATATTTTCCATAAGATCCGAGATAACTCAAATAATCACCCTATATCCTATTAATGCTGATGTCAACAGAAAACTAGGGTTTCTTTTTATTATTTACTTAATTTTATTTTTTATTATTTCCTTTTTTTAGAGAGGTTTTTGCTATAGGGCACATGCACTCACCAGAAAGACAGAGAGACAGAGAGAACTAAGAAATCACCCCTCAGGGGGAATAGCCATGCCATAATCCCTTTTCCTCCATTCTTCTCTTGGGATCTTGGGCACACATGCACATGCACCTTGCATGAGTTTTAAGCCACCAGGTCCAGGACTCGAACCACAGTCAACTACATGAGAGTCCAGCAACATAGCCAGTATGCCAACTGCTGGTCCATATTTATTATTATTTCTTAATTTGACCAGAGAGAGAGAAAATGAAAAAGCAAGCCACCAGGTTCAGTGCTTGAATCTTGGTTTGCCATGTGGGAGTCCAGCATCTTCACTACCACACCACCTGCTGGCCTGAAAAATAGTTTTTAAATATAAATTAAAACTAGCACTTTGAAATTGAAATCAACTTTTCTTTTTTTGCCAGAGACAGGAAGACAGAAAGAGAAAAAAAGTACCCCCTAATGGTACATGGTCATGCCACAATCCCTTCTCCATATTTTCAATCCTGTCAGGATTTGGGGCACACTAAAGTGCCTAGCATGTTTTTTAAGTCTCTGAATCTGGGATTTGAACCACACAGTTAGCCAAGTGGGATCTGGCTCCCTTAACCACTAGGCCACTGGGCCAGCCCATAAACCTATTTTTTTCTGTTTATTGTTGATGTGTGGTATTACAAAGAACATAAAGCCCTCCCAATGAAAGGGAATTGAAGATGCAGTAACTGGCCCACTATGCACACAGGAGGCACTGCCTCTGGGGTGGAGCTGCCAGAAAATTGGAGTTTCCCAGAATGCTTGGTTTAAGAGAATTCCGAGAGATGACATTTTTCTTGAGGAGTTTATAGCTCTGTCCTGGCAACCCTAAAGCTTATGAACCCCAAGGCATCTTCTGGTTCTGAATTATTGTGCCATGGAAAAGGAATATGACACAAAAATAACCCAGCTTCTTTCTCTGAGGCCATGAGACTTGTCCCCAGGGGAGGCTGTCTGACACTCCCTGCCCGGTGCCCAGCTCTGGACAAATGATCTAAAGATGGCCGGCTCTGCTAGCCTCCTCCTCACTGGAAAATTGCCCACCTTAAATATCATGCCAGAAAGTGCCTCTGGAAACCCAAGCCTTTCATCACTCGGCTGTAAACTGGAATCCCCAGAAATTAGAATTGGAATCTGAAATTCCATTAGAGTCTCCACATGGGTCCGAAATCTAAAAAGGGAGAAGAAACCAGCTCTGTCTGCTGTTAGTTTCAGCATCTGAAATAATCGCCCGCTGCTTCCTGATGTAAACACAGGGGTTAATTCCTTTCTTTCATAAACCTGCTGGTGTGCACCCAGAATTATGATTGTCTACGTTCAGCCATCAGAGCATGACAGGCTGAGTGGCTGCCAGCAGGGCCCTTTGCCCTCTTGATTTAAGTAAATAGATCTGGCTCTGGGCAGGTTTTCCAGACTGCCACATTCTCCAGACGTGAATGTTATTTTATTAAGATATATAGTGACGTACAAATATTTGTAAAATCAATATGTCTTATTCAGCTTTAAAATCTGTGATGGGTCTTCAAGTAGTCTCGTGTTCACAGACTGAGTAGACTTGTCAGGCTTAACGATGACTGCTGGAGGAGATGTCATGTTTATTTATAACAGATTGATAGTATATCTCGTTTCGGTGTGCTAGGAAACGGAAATAGGTTTGTGCAAACCCTTCCCCACCCCCATAACTTAAGGAACGGGAAGGACCTCACCTTTTACTGTATAACACGATACTTGAACTTCAGACAGAACGCGGATGGGCTGCATTTTCACCTTATGGACTTAGCTTCAGCTCTTGACTGTGAGATTGCCCCCTTAGAATAAGGGCTGTTCTTTAAAATGAATGGTGCCTTTCATGAGTCCTTTTAAGTATCCGATTTTCTCAATAGTTTTCACTGCAGTACACCATCAAAGGGGAGGAGCTGGCAAAAGGAAATGAAATTAAAATACGGACTTGGGTAGAGATAATGGAAGGTTCTTCATTTAAGGGGTTAGTTCCTTTTCTCTTATTATATTGGGGAATCTGAAAACACTTCTTGGTACTCTGGTTACCATCTTCAGGACATCCCAAAGGAAGCCATCTCCACACCTCCTCCATCCTCCATTGTCCCTGGTATCCATGGTTGCTGAAGAAAGAGAAATTTCTCTTAGTCGTACTCAGACTCTTCTAGTGGGCACCTGAAAAAAAAAAAAAAAAAAAAAAACAATAGATACCACCTATGAGTCAAAAAAGCCCATAATTTCAATTTGGAGCATGACTGGTATAAAGAAAGACAATTTAGACAAAATACAACAATAGACCATAGTACAAATTGGTATGCTGAAATATAAGCATTGAGGCCTGTGGTGTGCTTGCAAATGGCCTACATAGAAAGGGACGTCAGAGATGGGTTTATCTGTCCTTCCATTCCTCCATCCCTTCGATCTGGCCTCCTCTGTGTGCTGGGCACTGAGCCGAGTGCTGGCAACTCAAAGATGGAGGAGACTTGGTTGCTCATAGTATAAGATTGGGGGGTGAGAGGCTACAATTAAATAAAGAGAATCAGGCCAGCTGTGTTGTAGTAGTGAAGGCAGCTGGATCCCACATAGCCAACTGCATGGTTCAAGTCCCAGGCCCAGCAGCTTGAGAAACATTCCAGGCAAATGTGTGTGTGTGCCCAAAGTCCTGAAAGGAATGAAAAATGGAGGAGAAAAGATTGAGGTGTGACCATTCCCCACAGGAGGAGAGGATGTTTTCTCAGTCTCTCCCTCCCTCTCTCTTTCTCTCCCTCTCTCTCTGTCTCCCTCTCTCTGGTGAGTACATGCACCCTCTGGTAAAATTAAAATTAAATAGATGTAGATAGATAGATAGATGGTAGGTAGATAGGATTACATAATAAAGGGTAGCCAGCCAACTGTGCAGGCTGCCTGTGGAGCAGGAAGGAAGGAGTAGCCAATTACTCCTGGGAGTTCAGGAAAGACTGTGTCCTAGATAAAGGCAGTGCCAAAACGGATCCCGGAAAGATGAGTGCTAGTGACAGCAGGCCATGTAACAATATATGCGGACATGCTGCCACATGTACTGACTTGTTTAATTCTCCCAAGACCCTGTGTGTAGCGGGCCCATTCCGTGACGTGCAGAGAGATTAAGTAACTTGCCCGAGTCAAGCAGCTCACACGTAGCTGAGCTGGGAGTTAAAGCCAGGCACTCAGCGATAGGGTCAACACTCAAAACCACAAAGCTAAAAGCTTGCCGTATGTGAAGTGACATGTTTCGAAGAGGGTCAGGGCCATAGATTTTGTGAAGTGACAGAGGGAATATGACATTAAGTGTCAGTGGAGCTGAAAAATCCAGCTTTGGGAAAGAAGAGGATGAGGTGGATGGAGCTGGCCCGTGACTTCTCAAATGGAGCTAAAAGTGCCCTGCACACATGCGGTGATGACTGGGGACACACAGGCCCTGTACTGACATGCTGTGCTGTCACTTCTCCCAAAGATCCATGAGGGAAGAGCTTTAATACTTTTCTTCAGGTGACTTTAAAATACAGTTCTACATTATAGAATAGGTTATGAAATGATCATGGCATTTTTATGGCTTCTTCTTCCTGGTGTTATCTGATTTAATAAATAGTTCCTTTAATGTATGTAAAAACCAAATTTCAAGTTGCAGAAATTAATGCTTATTTAACTAAATAAAACAATGCATGCTTATATAAATGAAGTTATTTCTTTTTCTAAAATTCCTCTGTTCTTACTTCCCTGAGATAATGCCTCTATCCAGACTTACACAATTAGACATGGCTGCCTATGTGCACACTCAGGGCGTTCTGATGTTTCCTTCTGTAAGTATGGAAGCATAAGAACCTTATTCCACAGCTTACTTTGCTCACCTAATAATACATCATGAACGCTGGGGTCAGCACAGCAGTAATATAACTAAACTCACATGGGAAAGGTCCTGGGTTCACGTCCCGGAACCCCTCTGAGCCTGCTGGGAATGCACACGTGTGCCCATGATCCAAGCCAGCTGAGATCGGTGGTGGATCACAGTAGGAGGAGGCTGCCTCTCTTTCTGTTTGTCTGTCTGTCTCTCTCTCTCTCACCTACAAATAAATAAATATAATTTAAAACAGTAACACATCAAGGACAACCCTCTAGCTCCTTCTGCGGAGGGTCACACAGTGTTCGAGACCATCAGTGTTCTCCTACAGATGGATGGTTTCCAGTCTCTTGTCTCTCTAAGCAATGCTGAAATAGATATCTCCATACCTCTTATTCCTTCTTGTGCCTTTAGTTTTTAAACACTATACAGCGGGGTTAGCTCCATGGCCTGGTAATTAAGGCATCCAGGTCCCACATGGTTGATTCCATAGTTTGTGTTCCAGTCCCAGCAGCTTGAAAAACACACTGGGTACGTGTGGATGCATTCCCAAAATCCAAAAAGGAGGAGAGATTAAGGGGAAGGGATTGCAGCATGACCGTCCCTCATGGGGAGTGTTTATTCCTCTTCTATCTTCTGTCTCTCTCTGATGAGTATACATACCTGCTAGCAAAAATAAACCAATCTATACAGTGGTTCCTGAATTCTTTATCAAGACCCACTCCCATCTTTTAGGAAAATGGTTCATAAAAATCATGCAGTTCTGACTTTCCCTCACCGGCCATTATAGACTTTCTCTCAGGGTGCCCATAAGTAGCACTGTGTGCACTCAAATTCTGCCTCGTTCATTCAAATTTGTCAAAGGGAACAATTGTCCTAGTTCACTCTGTCTCTGCGGGAAAACCAAACTGTCTGCAAGCTAAGCCAGGAATTTTCTGGAAGTCTGTTGTAAAAGGAACAGGACATCTAAGTGGAGTTTGTCTTGACCAATTCCCTCACCACTGCCATACCATGGACTGGGGCCTGCTTTGTGATCTGTGTCTGGTGACATCCTCCATTTGCAAGGTAGTTTGTCACAGGAACAGTAGTGTTCTTTCCCCCAGCCAGGATCACTTTCATTCATCTTCTGCCTGCCATAGTTTTGCCTTTTTAAGGCAGCCCCTCCCCTCCTTAGTTACCCCCTTCCCTGGCCCCGACCCCCACACACACAGAGGCCAAATTACACAGCAGAGCTATGTCAGGTAGACACAGCCATATCTGCAAGGGTCCTTCCTATATTTCTCTACGCTCATCTAGTTTCAAAATTTTGTTATTCTACAAGGCCTCCTCCCTGCTCCCTGACTTCCTATACACTCACATACACGCATACTCATACGCATAAGCACCCCCCTACTAGAAGCCTTCCTAGGTGTCATTCCCCAGGGCTGAGCGCAGTGCCTGGGGCCTGGCTATGTCGCCAGGCAGACAGAACTGGGCTACCGACAGTTCAGCCTCACCAACTTGTTCATTCCCCCATGAGCCCCTCTTCAGCACAGGGCCCTCCAGAACATTCCACCAGGACCCATGAATCTAGACCTGCCTTAATGGACAATTAAAGACCTCTCTCTCTCTCTCTCTCTCTCTCTCTTTCTCTGCTCCATACCCTATGTTTACTGTGCCCTCACTTGAGGGTCTGGGCTTTACTGAGCAGAAGTGGGTCTCCTTTCACATCTACCCTCATTTGGTAACTGCCCACTCTGTTGCAGGCCCTCGCTCCATCACTGGTTCACAAATCAATTCAAGAGACAGATAAACAAGTAATAATAATAAAAGTCTGAATTTAACACTTGGGATACAAACTATGAATTCCTTGGCAACATTCTGTTTTCTGACCGACTCGCCCACTGCTACTATACCGCAGTCCCGAGCCTGTGCTGCCACCTGCATCTGGGGCCATCTCTCACTTTCTAAGGAGCAGTGATGTCCCCTCCGCCAGCCATGATCACTTCTGGGCATCTTCACCAGCGAGGACTCTGAAACCATTGGTTTTGTTTCTGCAGTTCCTAATTGTTTTCTCCAAAAACCTCACTCACTCTCACTCTTGCTTCCAAAGGGCACTTGCTCCCTCCATACTGCACAGCTTTTGCCAGGTGTTTAGACTCTCTCTTCCCTGGTTCATGTTCCACCCCATGGCACAACAGCTCTGTCACTGTGAGTCAGTCGCTTCCTGACTTAACTTTCTGTGGCATTGTAGGTCTTTTGAAGAGTGCTTCCTAGAGGTGCGCTACCAGAATCAACTACATACGGGACTTCCTGGTTTGGAACCAGGGCCACTTACCCCCTCCTTTCCATAATACCCTGGGCTGGATGGAAGGAATGTTGCAGATGAGGTGGAAGGTGGCTGTTATTCCCTGTGACCAGCATGTGATCCCCACTAGAACAAATTTAAGAAAAGTTAAGCTGTATCTCTAGTATGTCAAGCTAGAGACTGGCTTTAAAAAAAAAAAAAAGAAAAGAAAAGAAAAGAAAAAGAAAAAGAAAAAAAAAAAGAAAGAAAAAGAATTATTTAGGGACCAGCAGATTGTGTAATGGTTACATCACTAGACTCCCACATAGTCAACTGCAATTCAAGTCCCAGACCCAGTGGCTTAAAACTCATCCCCGGTGCATGTGTGTACGTGCCCAAAATCCCAAGAGGAGAATGAAGAAGAAAGGATTGTGGTGTGGCCATC